ACACTTACCATCCGTAATGATTGATGTATGTACATAAATTTTATTTTATTTCTCATTTTACTAGTGATTAACCCTTTCACAGGCGGTGGTACATATATGTACCACTTTTTTGTCTTTGGACACAGAACTATAATAAATTAGGAAAATAAATAACTTGGCACATTATGCATAACTGCGTCATAAACATCGACAGAGATTGTTCCCTTGAAATTCGCCCGTGAAAGGATTAATTGCATACTCTACACCCACACTGATTTATAGTTTTCAACTATTGTTTTGGTGATATTTCAGGGGTGAATGAAAAATAATTGACGAGGGAAGAGTCTTCATTAAAACTATTCTACTAACCAATGTACTGTTTGTCCTTCTGTTTGCAATGATTCAACACAAGTTCGATTCATCAAAAATCAATAAATCTATGCTCGATAAAACTCCTCGAATATTATTCGAAATACAGCACTAAATAGAATAGAGCTTTTAATAATATAGAGATGTTCAAATACAATACTTCATGGACACAAACTGTAGACGGATATCTTGATTACTTCAATCACATACAGAGATTGAAAATCAAAACAACGACTTCTTCTTGTATAGGATAACTTTTGCTTCTCACAAAAAGATGATGAATGTTAATGCAACATTGTTTAAAGATCGAGGCTGTCGAAAATGTTCACTGCGCACAAGTTTGAAGACACAGAAGGCCGTGTGTCTTTTCCTTAGTTAAAACTCGAGTTTTTGCTGTTTACAATGCTATGAAAGTAGCACTACAATAAAGCAATAGTTTTCATCGTGAGAGAAATAAAGCTATTCTGGATTTCATTTCAATCTATATTGTGACAGTCATTTAGAAGAAACTTTGAAATTGGCTTACTCGGCAATGGCTGTAGTTAGATGAACGAGGACAACGATTATACCGAATACGCCATGGACAATAAGAAAAGTGCATATCATTCGTTCATTATTACATTGGTTCAGGAAAACAGCTCCGATCACGATGGCAACGATGAACATAATGAATATGAGCAAAAGTTGTGCATAATACGAAAGATTTTCTCGTTTCAAAAGAGCATAATTCGGCGGACAGAATTTTTGGATCCCTTGTATTACTTTAATTAAAAACCATGGAAAACTGAGCTCGTCCGACCCAACTAGCCTTTCACCACCTGCAGTGTTCTCATCGTCCATCATGAAATTTTCATCCTCCTGCTCACATTGTTTATACATGATGCAAAATGTTTTTGTATGGTTTGTCTCCCTTCACATGCAAGCACGCATCACAAAATGCCGTTGAAACAACAGAAACAGCACTATTTTGCTGTCGACTAACGGCTTGTTTACGCTGAATGTTGCAAAATATTGTCGATAGGAGAGAATAGACAAAAAAAGCTTTCAGATCAAAAGCAGTAAATCAAATAAATGTCGATAAAAACAACTGTTCTTTCAATAAAATCGACAGACATGGCTTGGTCGAAGCGAATTAATTTTTTATTTCAAACATCTCGCTGTCATGCGCATCGATAGAAGTGAAAGGGTGTGGGTGTGGGTGTGGGTGTGGCATGTGACATGTGGGATTTGGGGTATGGGATGTGGAGTGTGAATGTGGATGTGGGTATGGGATGCTGGATGCGGGATGTGAGATGTAGGATGCGGGGTACTGGGTGTGGGCATGAGTGTCGGGTTTGGATGTTAGCCGAGAAAATACAACACCCACATCTCACACCCATTCCGCACCCGCACCCACAGTCACACCCACATCCACCCCACACCCACACCCACACCTTTCAGTATTTTGCATTCTCTAACCAAGAGATTTATGCTAAAATAAAAGAAAATTATATCAATTGATAGAGCATTTCACGCTCTATCAGTTTATAAAAAAAGATTTTTTCCTGGGGTCGATCTGCATCTCTCAAACTTGGTTTTAGGGAGAATAGTCAGCACTTTTCTCCTATCAAAATAATTAAGAAAGAACAGCTAGTTGCGTTTTGCAAAACTTTATTTCAATAAGGTGGGCGTGAAAAATCAGTGATATTCGAACTTTAAATATAGCATTTTGTTCAGTTTTGAATGCTCTTTCCAATGGTGTATAAAACATTGTGATAAGAGGAAGTTTGTAGGAGGTAATTTCACTTTTTCCGTTTTGCTGACTATTCTCCCTAAAACCAAGTTTGAGAGATAAAGATCGACTCCAGAAAAAAAATCTTTTGTTATAAACTGATAGAGCGTGAAATGCTCTATCGATTGGTATAATTTTCTTTTATTTTAGCATAAATCTCTTGGTTAAGGAATGCGAAATACTGAAAGGTACCTAATGCTGTTTTTTCATAGATAAAATTTTTTATTATTATAAAATATCCATATAGGTAGACGGAGTCTCGTTCTATAATACATCATGTAGCTGGCCTCTCATACCATCTATATCACTATTTGAATCAGACCCATATCTCATAATATGAAAAAAATATACTGAAAAAGAAATGTGAAAAAGATAGTGAAAAACTAGTTTTAAACTTTTGTCCTGGGCTGTATATTCAAAGTGAAGATAAGAGACAAGAAAGACGTATTTTATACTTATTTACCCTGTTGCAACTATTCTTTATCACTGAATGGTATATACAGATAAGAAAAAGAGCACGCACGAGCACATAATCAGAGATGCACACACAAATACAAGTCGTGGCCTCGTCAACTCATATACTTTTATCTATAGTGCATGTGCTCTCATGTAGTAGGTAAAAAAACCTACAATTTGAGAATCTGTAGTGTCATATAGTCTCATGTTGTGGGTTACAAGTCTAGAAATTCATATGACACCTTTACAGATTCTCTGGAGCCCTGATTAATCACTGATATGAAAGACATACAAAATACACGAGATGTATATCTGGAAAGCAGATATAGGAGAGCAATAAGGATATCGATACATACACTGCATTTCTCTTATTGAGAGTGCTACGACAACACACATTCATGGGATACACATCCAGGGCGTCCGTCTCAGTGAGATTGCTACAGAAACATGCAGACATACTCAAGGAACACATATAGAATATCTCTCTCACTGAGAGTGCCACGAAAACATACAAAAGAAACACATATACAGAGCATCTCTCTTCCTGAGGGTGCCATGGATACGTATACAAGAGCACATATATAGAACATCTCTGTCACTGAGGATGCGACGAAAAGACGTATATAGAGCATCTCTCTCACATGAGACTACATGATACTATAAATTCTCAAATTCTAGGTTTTTCGATCATATTGTTTTCATCCTACAATTTGTAGTCGTATTTGTGCAGCCATCCTTTCCATTTTCTTCATATTATTCACCATCATATTTTGCACTTTTTATCGCTTTACATATATGGAACAAAGTATATTTACTTGTTATCATTTTTCATTGCATTTTCACCATGATACGACCTATATTTGCTTCAACATTTCTTTTTCTTTTCTAAGAGTACTCAATAATCCTTTTGCTTCGCTCTACTTTTATAATACAGTTATCTTTTTTAACTCACGGACATCATTTGATGTGATATGAGACTCCTATAAAATAATCATCTTTCTCGGCAAATATACGAGAGGATTGATAATCAGGTTAGTGCAGCACTTTTTGTTTTTTACTGTGCATCTTTAGAAATAAAGTTAAGGAACCATTATAAAACTGTTTCCAATGTTTCATTTATACTTTATCTCAACTTTAAGCTCATGTGATACTTTTTTATTCAGTGTGGCTTGATTTAAGAAGGATAGAAAAGATAAGTTTTCTCGTGACAACAAGCCTTCATGTTTCGGCTGAATAGTGTAGAACCCATTAATTCGTTACGCCTTTACGATACTGGCTATGAATTTACAAATTTACGGACTTACCAACGTACGAAATTACGAATTCACGAATTTACGAATTAGCCAACTTCATAGGGTTTTGCCCTCATCCTTACCCGCCAATTCGTCAATTCGTAGCAAAATTTGTAAGTTCGTAACGAATTCACGAGTTGTACATATATGTTTCGGTTTTTGTTGCGATCCTCTTGGTAAAAAGACTATAATTGCGCTGTCTAAGAAAAGATTGTCTGCCTGATTCTGAAATTTTCATCTAATTTGAAAACTTTTCCCGCACTGCATTGCAAAGAGTCCTGTTTTTCGCAATGTCGAACTGAGATCGCAAGTGTCGCACATTAAGTGCTACGCAAAAAATGACATTACTTTTGAAAGAAACTATTTTTTGATGAAAAGCGTCAGAATTTTCTGAATAAGTTGTTCGTGTTTGCACTAAAAGCTTGAGTCAAAAATAAAAAAACACAAAGACGCGAAAAACGGATCAGTGGGGCATTTAGATATTCGAAAAGAGAAAGACCAGATAGTCATGTGTTCTGTATTTAGATATATTCTAAATTCTAGTTTCAAATTGGAGATTTATTGTTTTTTGTTTGAATATCTTGTATCGCACTGTCTTGTTGTTGTATCATCTTTCTTCAAATATCTTCATATGTTGTCTGCGAAAATAAGATATTCGGATATTAAGATATGACATATAAGAAAAAGAACCACCTCCTATATCTATTTATTCATTAACCTATGCATTTCAGATAAACTTATCCTATTTTTCCATTGCTCATCTGCATTAGAAAGATCCAAGTAACACATATATTATTACGAATTGTTACTCAGTAACAAACCATTTTTGAACTCTATTACTTTTTTTGTAATTGTGGTGTATTTATTTATTATAAGTAGTTTTATTGGTAATCTGTTACATTGAAAAGTGCATCATGTTTTGGCTTGTAGTATCATTCATTTTGGGAATAATTTCGTATATAGTTTACAAGCAAAATAATAAATCAAAGGAAATTTCTTCAAATGTCTCTCAATACGATCATGCCATAATTATCGGAGGCAGTATTGGAGGGATGGTGACTGCTGCTTATTTAACGAAATATTTCTCACGAGTAACAATTATCGAATCAGACAATATCCAAGATGATACATTAATGAAATCTACACCGAGTGAAATATTAGATTATCGTTGTCGTCTTGAAAGTCCGACATCAGTAGGACGTTCAGGTGTTTCTCAGATATATCAAACACATGTAATAGAAGGTGAAGGACATGAAATATTACGTGAATTATTTCCTCAATTAGACAATAAATTATTAAATGAATACGATATTCGTAATTATTCATTAAAAACAGAATTAAGATTCTTTGTTAATGGTATATTATTAAATCAAAATTTAACAAAAGACATAGAATGGTTAGGTGCTGATCGTTTTACATTAGAAACAGTTTTGAGAAAAGAATTGTGTTTAAAATTTGAAAATCAAATTGAATGGAAATGTAATTCAAGAGTAACACAACTCATTGTTGATCAATCATCAAATATTGTTAAAGGCATTAAATATCGGTGTAAGCAAAATGTTGGTTCGCCTTTATTTGATATGTACGGTGATTTTATTATTGATTGTAGTGGTCGCAATTCGTCGTCAACTAAATGGTTAAAAGAGAGTTTGAATTTAATTGTGCCAACTGTACAAATGCATTTTGGTTGTGGCTACGTGACATTTGTTGGTGAAAGATTTAAAACTGAAAATCCAACGTTGGATTCAATACCTGTGATTTGTAGCACAGTTAATGCTCCTGACAAAAATGCAGGGTGTTATATCATTCCAATGCGTACAATAAAAACATCAGATGAAAACTCATTAGGAACATTGGCACAAATCTCGATTCATTGCGTTAATTCAGAATTTCCACCAAATGATTCTTACGAAAATTTATTAGAATGGATAAAAGAAAATCTTGATCCAGATTATTATTCAATATTAAAATCAACAAAAGTATATAGTCCATTAATTCCATATCGTCGTGCAATTGACGATCGAAGATATGTCGAATCATTAGGAAAAAAATGGCCTCAAAATTATATATTACTGGGTGATGCGATGTGTACATTTAATCCTCAATTTGGCCAGGGTATGACTCATGCATGTCGACAAGCAAGAGGATTAGCAAAAATATTTGCTGAAAATTGTCACAAATTAAAAGATATTTCTCATGTATTCAATTCTCGTGCTTCAGCAATCAGTGAAGAATGTTGGCTTCTTTCGACTACAAATGATTGGAAAACACCGACATTAAAAATAATAAAAACTGATAAAAATGGTCAAACAAAAACGTATCAACGAAATGGTGATTTTCCTGCAACTAAGGATAATCAACTCCGATTACCTTTATTGACAAAAATTTTACAGTGGTATATTGATTCATTTTTGAAATGTGCTTCGAAATCCGGACAGCTTTCCACAGACTTTTTACATGTTATGAATCAACAGGCTAGTATATTTATATTATTCAAACCAACAATATTGTTCGCTGTTTGTTATACTGCATTGATGAACTGTTTTAATTTATCGAAATAATTATCTGTTTAATTCGAATTTTTCTTTTGTTTATACATCAAAACTTGAGGGTGTGTGGGTGCTGATGTAGATATTAATTCCATCTATACCCACATCTACCCACGCCCACACCCATCCTCATATATGAAAAGACCAACGTTTGCCTGTTTAAATAAAGTCTTGTTCCAGTAGTCGCCAATTTCTTTGAAAAAGCAAAATTTTCTTGATAATCGTTTTGCCTTCGTTGAAATATTAGAGGAACATATTCATTCACTTCGAACATTAGGGTTCGTTTTAAATTTATGCATTGTTCGAAGGGTGTGGGTGTGGGTGTGGGTGTGGATATCTTCTCATCACTCACACACCCACACCCACACCAACATCCACACCCTTATGAAAACATTTCACATACAAGCGTAGAACAGTAAAAATTTCGTCATAGCAGAACTGTTTCGTTCTTCTATTTACTTTGAAACATATTATTGTGCACCACAAATGTTGAATTCTTTTTGATGGGAAGTGAGTCATGTGTAATTGCTTCGAACATTTTTGTAATCTTGTGAAAAAACCAATTTTATAGCTTTTGAGCTATAAATATAGAGAATTTTGAAATATTAAAAACACTTTCATGGAAGTTAATATGAACGAAGTCATTCCATTCAGTTGGCTTTATGCTGACGAGCATATTCCAGATGAACTCTATGCGTTTGTTCGAAATAATTTAGTAGATCAACTGGATACTTGTCTACACAGTCTTACCAATCCAATCGAATATTTGACGGCTCTAAGTTGGCATGGAGAAGAAAAGTTAAGTTTATTAATGGTAGCTGCTCTTCATGGACATGATGAAATAGTGCAAGTTTTGCTTGCTCACTGTCAACCTCAATATCAGATGGAGTTAGAAGGAAAAGTAGCTATCTCGGAAGGAAATTTTATTGATAACATCACAGCACTTCAGTGTGCTTGTTACCGTGCACATTTCACTGTAGCTAAAACTTTGATTGATATCGGCTCTGCCGATGTTAATCATGATAATGATAAATGGCCATACTATCCATTACTTATTCAAGCTAGTGCAGAAAATCGTCTTGATATAGTTCGTTTTCTTATTGAAAATGGTTACTCTAATGTTAACGAAACTCAATCTAATGACAGAGATCGATGTACCGCTTTGATATGGGCTGCTTTCAAAGGTCACGCATCTATCATCGAATATTTAATTGAAAAAGGTGCTGACGTCAACTACTCCTGTAAAAGTGATTGGTCTCTTGCACCAACACCAATCACGTGTGCTGTTCTTCTAGGTAATGTCAATGCAGTACAACTGCTATGCAATGCAGGTGCGAACACAAGCGCCAAGTTTACGAATGGTGCAACACTTCTTATGACTGCTTTGAAACACAGTCATTTTGATGTGATCGATTTTCTAATCAAGCGATCAATAGCTACGATCGATGATCTCGAACTTACTGTCTGTTTATTAGTTGATACCAACCCTTCAATGAACCAGTTGCGTAACGCGTCGAAATTCTTCGTTCTCGCTATGAAATACCGTGAATCCAATCAGACTCCAAAAGTTCGTATAAAACCAACTATTGCTTACGAGTATCATCAAGAATGTCAGACATTTGAGGAACTTGATGCTATAAAAAATGATCATGATCGAATGTGGATCGAAATATTACTCATTCAAGAGCGTATTATGCTTCCACGAAGTGATTGTAGTTTAATGAGATCGTTGCTGGCTCGTGGTGATGTATTAGTATCCAAAAGTGAATTTGAAAAATGTCTTCATTTATGGATTCATACATTTTACCTGTACCAGCACATGCAAATGAGCACTAGCCTTCACCGATTTGTGTGGCTATTCTGTAAGATGATTACAGAAAATCAGAGAATTCCGATTGATCAATTTCTAAAGGTTTGTTATCTGATATTTGAACCTTCACAATGCAATCCAGATGAGGATACTATTTTCAATGCACTATGTCTGGTTGTTATTGCAACAAAAGTAGAATATTCTTTAATCTCGAATCATTCTAAACTGATTTTTCTTTATTAGGTTCTTGAACACGAGCTTACAACAAAAGAAGAACGAACTTTAATATTTCAATGGGTTTCCAAACTGTGTCGTCGAAATCCAATAAATGAAAGGAGAGAAACGTTGGTCCATTTATGCGTAGATAGTGGCAGTAATGAATGTTTGAATTGGCGTTCTAGTGATATTGGGTCTCATATCAAGTAAGTGAACTTTTTGAATTGTGAGAAATGGGCATGAGTATGCTCACAGCATTGACAATGTGAATGTCAGTTTCAAGGAAAAGAAAAACAATACCCACATTTCCATCAGAATTAGTTCTAACTGAATAAACCAATGAAAGACACTGACCCTCTTAATAATAGTTTTTGACATCATTAAAGTATTTTATTTGCAAGAAAAACTTACTGTTATACTCTAAATCTTTAAAAAAAGCTATGCAAAAACTAAAAAAGTCTTTATACAGATTAGTACAGAAAATATTCTCTCTAACGAT